ACTGGTTTTGTTTTACCAAATAAAAGTGCTAAAGAAAGATCGCCATAGGAAAGTTGTGTTCGTTGAGCTAGTGATCACATTAGGCAGCTCGGATTATGACTGAAAAAAATAAAGATCTTAATTCGCTTAGAATCTACCATACCATTAGTTTCGAATGAAAGAACAGTAATAGTTTCTGAGATGAAACTGTGAGCAGATAAGAGCAACGTTTGTGAACTCCGATAAACAGCAAACTATTCGATCGTTTACAGATCTCATTTCATAGCGTTTGAGCAGAAACAACCGAGAAGCAGAAGCTGCAGCCAGCTGTCATGCCACATCGATGGTGATGCAATTCGTCGACTCTCTGTCATTTTTCTTTTCACCTCAACCTTCATTCATGTCAAACCTTCATGAGATCTTATTATATCTACGACATTCTTCCTTCGGATCTGAAATTTCGAAAGAAGAACTTCTCTTTCACACAAGGCTCACATTACTTTATCACAAAGCGTCTTATCAGGAAAATTCTTTTCGCTTCCTCCGTCCTATCGACTATCCTGAATATTACGATCGTCGAAAAGTTTGCTTAAAGCTCTGCTGAACTTTCGATCAATCAATATTGTGTTTTACAACGCGACGAGATTTTCATAGTGTCAGTAACCAAATGAACTAGCATTCATAAATTCTATCGCTTCGCATCGTTCTGAAGTAAATATTTCGTCATCACAACAGCAAACAATCGAGCGTCTAAAATGTTTGACATTGGTGACATCCTACGCAATTTTTTCTTCTCTACATATTCCTTTTGATGCTAGTTAGTTTAGAGAGTTGTTTTTATCTCACTTATTGATAAGTTTTGTCTTTCGTAGACAAATCTACTCATCAATTCACGTCCATTTAAATGGATCAAGTTCAACTACACACCAGGGTTACCGTGGATCTGCCTTAAATCCTATGTGTGTATTTCACCTGGGTGAATATAGAGGATAGAAGGATAAAGCACTCGGTGTTGATCAACACTGGACGGTCGCGCTATGCATTCGCCCTCATTAAGTATCGTTGGAGGTGATTGGATGCATATCTGACCTTTACAATGACTCGCGGTGGCCTACCGATGTAGTGGGCCAATGCTGTTCTCTTCACAGACAAATCTGGTGTCAACTTGCTGACCCCGGAGGGTTGGAGGGCTTGGTGGGCGGTGGGCGTGGGAATCGATTCCGCGTGTGTGTCGCAGTGGCGATTCCAGCCGCTGCGCCACACGTACCTCTTGGATGAATGTACTTTTTATTATCCTGCGTTTATTTACTTCTTCTTAGCTTGTCTGAACAAACGTTATTGACTTAAGCATCATTATGCATAACAAGTTTAGTTAGAGTTTGCCATCAATAACAGATGAATTAGAACCGTGTCGGACTTTTTTTTCGTGAAACTGTTAATCGATCAACTTAAGGTAAGGGGTTAAAGTATTTGAATTTATCGAATCCAGACGAGAACATTGCCGAGGTCGTCGTAGTTGTTCCACCAATCGTCACTTCACCACTGAATATGGATAAATGTCCACAACCGGTTAGCCAAGGTCAGATTAATATTAACAAATTTGACATAGTGAACGACAAAAAGTGATAATATCACCATATCAAGTAAATTTAGGACCATAAGATCGTTGCGTTAATAAATCACTTACAATGGAAAAAATCAAGGGAACGTTCTGCTTGTGCTTATGTTCTTCGACCAAAAATGTAAAGCAAAAGTGCCAGAATTCTGCCAATCATGTGCTCATATTGGACCACGTAGAATGAGAAGATTATTTACCTATAGCAAAAAGATTGTCCAAGCGATTATTTTCAGTAGATTAATCCTTTTTTAGTGAGCGATCAAACAATGAGCAATGTTGTTCACGCAGACGAACCCCATTCAATCCTACGTTTATGCTTTCTATGAATCGACAATAAATAATGGTTTTCATGATTTTAACTTATTATTTCCTTCCTACTCTTTTTTAACGACAGGGTATACAAGGTGAAATATAACTTCAATGATGCTGAGATATTTGCAAAATTCCGAACCACAGGTGTATGCGGTGGGGAACGAACGCGCTATTGTTCTTTCCGGGGAGTAATGCGTTCATCACCACACCACGCGGGTCATTCATTTCGCCTGTCTCTCGGCTAGTTCTATCGATCTTTGGCGAAAACTGAAAACTAGCTGAGAGATAGGCGAAACGAAACACCCGCGTGGTGTGGTGGTGAACGCGCTACTCCCCGGAAAGGACAATAGTGCGTTCGTTCCCCACCGCATACACCTGTGGTTCGGAATTTTGCAAATATCTCAGCATTATTGAAATTGCTTTCATAGTTTCTGACGTAAACCGATAAACTAAATAATAATTGATAAAGGAATGTTGTTGATGGGCTACGTCATATTAAAGCTATGCTCGGAACGTTCATAGAACAGGAACAGGATCTAATCCATCGCTCTGCTCTATTCTACTTGATGAATGTTCGGATATTTTTGATGGTTTGCGTCATAAATTAAGACTGCTTACTAGACTCCTTGACTAGTGGTGGGCTAGTGCTACTTGCTGGACAGATGTGTTATCGAATTTTTTAGTGATATACGAATCCGTTAGGGCAACGATGCGTAAAGTTAAAGAGGTTAAGACGTTGGCTGTTGTCGAACCCTTGAGCCTGCGCCATGTTTCCCACTCCGTTAAACATCGAAGAGGTGGTTGCAAGTATAAGTGGTATATATATATATATATATATATATATATATAATGACTTGAAGTAGCTAAATGATGTGCCATGTCAGTGTTTTATCCCTCGAGACAAATCTGATACCAATCTGTACCCACAGAGATAGGACGCTTGTTTGGCTTAAGTAGGAGGATCGAACCGGCAACCATAGGTGTATTGCATAGCATCTCTAACCAGTGTCCTACACATGTCCCTAAATACATATGTTGCACGATTATCTGCAAATTAAGCTCTAACGCAAACACTTAGTTAGTGCTTTTTTTCCAGAATTAATTATACTGCAGCTCACATCGTCTGTTTACAACCTCACCGTGCATCAGGGTGGTGAAGAGATGCTTAGTTCATTTCTGACCCACAAAATTCGTAAAAATGGTTTATTAAAGTATCCCAATAAGCAAGCATGTCGTTGTATTGTTATGTACCAATCATCTTATCTTTTTGGGAGATTCTTATCACTTCATCATTTTTTTAACGTCTCATCAAACGATATAACAAAGGGTTCGAAAATGAAAATTGCTAATATTCTTGCTTGATAAACATATCAAAAAAACAAATACCTTAGCAATATTGAACTTAAAATTGTTTAGGAGATCAACAAGAAATGACACACAAGACGTTGGTCTGTAAACGAGCTCGTGAGTTTGCTCTTTGTTTCTTTATTTTAAACCATTTTCTTTCCCAAGTAATGAAAAACGAGGCGGGAAGCGCAGTAGTAGTGGTTCCATTCATTATGCGGACGAGCCAACTTAACCAGGCTCTAGTTCAATCCCAATCCGGCTCCACTAAACCTTCCACCTTTTAACGGTCTGGAATTTGGTAGAAAACTTGACTAGGACCACCTCACTTCCTTTAATCCATGTGAGAACGGGCAAGCATGACTATCTCAGTATTCCAAGGAGAATCTACTCTACCAGCATTCAATCACATTCGTAAGAAAGGTGAAAATTCTCAACCAGCAGTCAAACCCGCACGCTATAAGTTCAAAGTGCTTAGCAGATTGTGGATGCGAGAGAGCGAGGACCAAGGATCCGCACAATGTGTTACGCGTGATGTCGCCTCATGTGATTAAACGGTAGATTTCATAATAAAAAGCAGTATACAATATGAACTATAACGAGGCAATGTTTTACACTTTTTCTTCTGCCTACTATAATTCTCACGGCAGGATACTAAGCGAAATACAACCACAATGATGCTCAGATATTTGCAAAACTCTGGACCCCAGGTGTTAAGGTGGGGCACGAACGCGCTATTGTCCTTTCCGGGAGTAACGCGTTCACCACCACGTCATGCAAGTCCTTCGTCTCGCCTGTCTCTCAGCTAGTTCTATCGATCAGCGCCATCAGCAATCACCCGTCAATGGGAGTAATTTCAACTACAGCCTCAACTGGGTTCAATGCCGATGTGTGCTGTCCAGATCAATCCCGTTGGCGGGTGATTGCTGAAGGCGCTGTTCGATAGAACTAGTGGTTGTATAACGAGGCAATATTCAATAGATTTTCCTTGCTGAATGATCTCCAGCGGGATAGTTGTGCGACTACATGGGGTATTCCCAGCTGATGCTCGGAAGGACAAAACCGGACCAAAGGCAACCATGCATTTGTTCTGAAATGTCAGTAAGCGTATGACCATTCTCTTCTTGCTGATGTCGGCTTGAATTTCATCACTTCATATTCTATGTGCTTCATTTCTTATGTCTACTACATATAACACCACAGTTGAAGCCGACCATGCACTAGTAAACTCTGTTCTTTTCTCTAAGCCTTCTTAGCACTCTCATCCTTCACGTATACCTAGGGAAAATCCGAAGCATTATGCTTGAATACGCTGGGTTTCGAAGATAGAGACTGACAAAGTACCCATAAGAATCCCCTCTTCTAAAACATTGAAAATAAAGTGCTCCTTACAAAAACTTTTATTCAATTAGTCTGATTGAGCGCTCCTGGCGCGAAACTGTAAAAACTCATCGCGTTCTGCCAGAGATGAAGTACTTTTCGCTCCTAAAAGCAGAAATGCCACTCTGTTTGTAGTGTTCACGTCGCGTGCTAACCAGACGAGCGAACTTTTAAAAAATAGGTGCAGAAAAGACGAAATCAGCAAGATCACAAAAGTGGTTCAGTTTCTATATATTCCTTCAAAAGTCTGGAAAGCTCGTAAAAGGGGTTACTAGAGAATATGAATCAATGAGAAACCTATGAGGATGTTCTTCTAGTCGCTCTTGAAGTTTTGCTTTATAGTACAACTAGCACCAACAACATATTTATGAACTTTTTTTCAGCATTTTTTCACCCAGAGTCACGACGCTTTCGTCTAATTCTGTTACTGGCATCTGGTTTCTGCTGTACGACATTCATGCGAATGCATTTAGCCATCACAATGACATGTATGGTAAATTCAACGGCCATATCTATAGTGGAAGAACAGATCTATCATCCTGAGCAATTTAACATAACAGAGAGGCAACACAGCCGTAATAAGGTGATGAGCTTTTCTGTAGAAACTGATGACACGTTTTCATTTTCGCAAAACTATTCCCACACTATAAAGTCGACAGTTGTATGCTGTGGAAAGGTGTTGGTACAAACCTTAGAGAAGGTCGAGAGAGCGCATTGCACCTCTGCTCTGAGTGAATTAGGCATTCATACCATTGACATTGTTGTCTCCTCCTAAACTTGTGTAACCACAGAACACCTTTCCCGAGTCAATTGATCGTAACGGATATGAGCACAACCGCAGGTTCTTTTTTGGCGCAATAAAATTGTTTGCAGAGTACTTCTACTAGTTGGAAAGCTCACTGTGAAAAACGTGCCCCTGATGGCCACACCATTGTCGTGGACTACGGAGTGGGTGTTTGAATAATATTACCAGTTAGTAACTTTTTCACATACAATACTATGAGAACAGTGTATCGGAAGTGCTGAGAACGTCATTCGTTCAGTGATTGATATTTTGAAAGACTCACATGATATATTAGTTATAATTTTGTGTGGAATGGAATGAAATATGCGCCGTGATCGTTTTTAGGGCACCTTACTCTGGTCGCATCGTGAGCAGAATTTCATATTTTCCGGTACATTCTGGGGAGCTTTGTTAGTGATCGGTCCATCGATGCTCGTATATCATCATTGTTCTCCACGTCTTCTACTAGTGGCAGCAATGGGCGCCTACATAATGTCGACGATCGTCACTCCTACACTAGCATTGCACGTTGGTGTTGTTGCCGTATTTGTGGCTCGAGTATTCATGGGATTTGGAGAGGTTCGTTACCAGTTCATATAAGCATGAGAAGACGGTTATAAGCACTAGCCACACGGTTTGCCTTCAGGTGATCGTGTAAAAAGAACAGGTGCGCGATATTGCAAGCCTTCCGGTCTCACATGAGTATCAATTTCAAAAGTGCGAAATAGTGTCTTATATACGGTTGCTCGATAGGGGAACTTTTGCCCGCTAAGGTTTTCCTTCACTGTAAATCAGAAAAGAAGTAAATTTTTTAAAACTGACACGACCGACTTTCTATTAACCTCGGCATTGATCAAGTGATTTTGTTCGTATGTTTTGAGCAAACGCGAGGAGTTACTATTCTTTGTTCACGATTAAGCTGACGTTTCGGCGAATCTCGCCTTCTTCAGAGCCTGGAAAGGTCAAGTTGATAGCAACTCACTCGGCCAGACGCCTCCATAACCAAACAAAGAAACCCTAAACCAAGATTTCAATCGCTTTGAACACAGCTTTGCACACTCACCGCTTTCTATGAGGTCTCCACTAAGTATGTCACGTAGAGACCAACCGCACAGAAATCACGTGGAAGTATAATGTGCCCCTCACATATAATAGTAAGTATAATGATAGTATAATGATAGTTGATAGTAATGTAATAGTAATACAATAGTAAGTATAATGATAGTATAATGATAGTTGATAGTAATGTAATAGTAATACAATAGTAAGTATAATGATAGTATAATGATAGTTGATAGTATAATGTGAGGGGCACATTATACTTCCACGTGATTTCTGTGCGGTTGGTCTCTACGTGACATACTTAGTGGAGACCTCATAGAAAGCGGTGAGTGTGCAAAGCTGTGTTCAAAGTGATTGAAATCTTGGTTTGGAGTTTCTTTGTTTGGTTATGGAGGCGTCTGGCCGAGTGAGTTGCTATCAACTTGACCTTTCCAGGCTCTGAAGAAGGCGAGATTCGCCGAAACGTCAGCTTAATCGTGAACAAAGAACAATAACACCTCGCGTTTGCTCAAAAAATACGAACAAAATCACTTTTAAAACTGAGTTTCTTATTCTCTAGAAGCATCCACTTCAATTGCCACTTAGCTCATATCGGTTTCCTTACAAGGCTAATGAATCGAATTCTACTAAGAGTCTACAAAATAACGTTTAGAAGTGAAATTTCTACGCAACTTTTTTTTAGGGATTCGTGATACCTTCAATCAATTCAATAATCTCAAATTGGTTTCCGGTTGAAGAAAAAAGTACGGCAATCGCATTGTATACGGCCGGCAATCAATTTTCCGGTACTGTTTCAAGTCAATGAGGATAACATTAAAGCTGACGATGAACGCTTACAATGGTTCGGAAAGTAATGCTAGATTTTGTCTAGGTACGTATGAATCTTCGAGGTCATGCGCCACTTGTCCTTGAGCTTTTCGCCTTTCTCTGGTCGCTCGGAATGTTCAAAATCTGATCAGTTCGAGATACTGCCGTTTTCGAATCGTTTCTTCCAATAACTTGTCAACAGTCTTCTTCTGTAAATGGGTCATTATTTTCCGAATCATCTGACTGCTTACTTTGCTGAGAAAAATTTGAGTGTGATTTTATAGGTGCCCTTGGTAATCCACTCGCTGCAGCGCTCTGTGCTTCGTCGTACGGATGGCCGACTGTCTTTTATTTCACTGGTGTGCCCGTTTACAGGGTTCTTGTTATGGTGCAATTTAATAGGTTTTTATTGTGGTCAAATCGTTTTTTTCTCACTATAAGTTTTACTGACCTATGCCACTAGCAATTCCGTCAGTGATCAAGCAAGTAGAGCGAGTACACGTAAACCCCACTGGTTCCTGTTCTACACCATGAGTCCTCAGCCTTCCTCGCCTGCTGGAGGCAACGAGCAAAACCATAATTTCGCTGTTTTTTTTTCATTCTTCTTGACTAGCTGGTAGCAACAGACATCACATATTATGGCTCAGCCTCTTATTAGCCTTGCTAATAACTTGACTATGGGAGGGTAGAACTCTTTCTACTCTTGACAGACCTTGCTAGAATTGTAAAACCCTTGTTACACATTGCATTTCAATGCCGAATAATACCTCCCAGCCCTGATGAGTGACAAAATGTTTTCATGAGTACAGTTTATTATCAGCGCATAACCACAGTGATGCTGAGATTTTTGCAAAACTCCGGACCCCAGATGTCTGCGGTGGGGAACGAATGCGCCATTACCCTTTCCGGGGACTAACGCGTTCACTACCACACCATGAGCGTTCAATGCCGATTTGTGCTTCCCAGACCAGTTTCATTGACTGGTGATTGCTCATGACACAGCTAGATAGAAAACTAGCTGAGAAAAAGGCGAAACGAGGGGCACACTGTGTGTGGTGGAGAACGCGCTAGCCCCGGAAAGGGTAATATCGTGTTCGATCCCCACCGCAGACATCTGGGGTCCGGAGTCTTGCAAATATCTCAGCATCATTGTAGTTGAACTTCACACAATACCCTGTAGGCAGTAAGTAAAAAGTTATCACTATCGGAATATAACTCGTATGAAATACTGAGATATGGTGTGGTGGTGAAGTGCGCTGCTCCCCGGTAAGGACAACAGCGCGTGTTCGTTCTCCATTGCATACACATGTGGTCCGAAGTTTTGCAAATATCTCAGCATTTCATACGAGTTATATTTCGCAACATACCCTGCCATTAAGAAGAAAAAGGCAGTAAATAAAATAGTTAATATCGGAATATAGTTTTTGAAAATCAGACCTTTTCTTTTTTTACAGTTATTTTTGAAATCACTTTGTATCATTTTCCATTTTTTGGAAATCATTTTAACACTGGGAAAAGGAAGCTGTTGTAATAACATGGATGCAACTTCCATATAATGGGTATTTCTTTTTTGGTTTGACTTTTTTTTTGGAGTTCTATGACAGCCGTGCAAGTGCTCCGCAAAGGAATTACCGCTGGTTGCCACCGACGGTTGGTACTTCGACCTTCAGAATTGTCCCTTGAAGACTGAAGAGAAGACAAAACTAAAACAATAAACTATTGATGAATATAAGAGATCAATAAACAATATTTCCCATTGGTAGTGAAAATTATCCAGTGGTCACGCCCAGGTCATTCATTATCACATCTGTTTTCAGCGGCAGTCGCCAGTTTATGGTGCATATTGTGGATATTCACATCTACGAATCATCCAAGAAATTGTGTCCAAATGACGACAAGAGAACGGGCATATCTGACTGCAAATGTCGTTCACCATTCAACTCGAAGCACTGTAGGCTTCATTTATTACCTTGTTGAGGCCCACTAAACTTGAAACAAAAAACCCTACAGAAGATGCAAAATTGTTCTTACTGTAGTTTTGCTCAAACACGGACCCAACAAATTAGGCCGCTAATTTGCGACAACTTGTCACTTCAAACATAGCGAAAACTTTTAATTTAGAAACCGCACTTAAAATTTTACAGTAAACCTCAAAACATGTAGTGATTGTACGATTGAGAACATGTGCTATCAAACAGGAATGTGGATAGGAACAAGAGATAGTGCCGTAATGATCTATGTGGAGAGGCTTTCCATCATGTTTGCAGGCTTTTTTCTATTTTATGTTCACTTCCTCGACCCAGAAATTCTAAGAAACACTGCAGCTTTTTTTCTACTTCTGTTCAGCAAACACGAGGTGTTACTTAATT